AGATGTAAGGAAAAGTACCTATCAGCTGGAGAGCTCAGTTTTGCTACTTACAAGTTAATGTCCTTGAGCTACATAAGCCTCAGTTCCCTCCCCACAAAATGGAGATAACAACAGCCTTTTAGGGTCGTTGTGACAATTATCAGAATGACTGATAAGTAATAAACACTCAATTAATGTGAGCTGTTATAACACTGCCATAACATACACACACACACACACAAAAACACACACACACAAAATGGTGAAAGCGTGGAACTTCAAGGCCAACATCTCATTCTCAATGGCTAACATTCAACAAATATTTTCCAAAGATCTAATCTTTGTTTTGCTGATAAACGTTTATCAGCTACTTGGCCAGGGAGACAGGAATGAGATGCATTGATTCTCAGCTGACCCTGTGCTAGCACCAATGTTAATTAATTGCTGGTTTTTTGGAACGAACAGTAAGCACTCAGTATTAAAGTGCATGTAAGAGAGAGTTTGAGAACATCTTGTGTATTTCTCTGGCAAGATTCTATAACCCTATACAAATTATTTAGATATTATTTCACATTAATCATGCTTTTACACACTAATTACACACAGAATCAGCTAGATGATTGAGTTTGCCAGTATGTTTGGGAACAGCAATTCTCAACATTTGGACCTCAGAGCAGCTGTACCAGAATCACCTGGTAGGCTGGTTAAATGCCCTCTTCACCCTCCACTGCACCCCAGGACATAACGAGTCAGAGTCTCTGGAAATGGAGCCCAGGAATCTTCACGTTTAACATGATCCCTAGATAATTCTTATTCTGAGCGAAGTTTAGAAAATACTGGGTTTAAGATGTAAGGTGGTATGGTTACTTGATATTAACATTTCTAACATCACAGCCTTTAGTTCTTCAAACTGTTGTTGACACTTTGTCGAAATTTAGTTTCTTTCTTTGCCTTACCGAAGAACAATTTAGTTAATATAATCATTCTAAAAATTAAATACCTTTCAGTGCCTTCAGGTCAGCATTCTGGATTCAATTTAATTGTAGATAATTAAAGAGCAGAGACACAGGGGGAAAGTCCGGTTGTTTAAAGGTGCTGATCCATGACCGCAGGTAACCTCTACACCACTGGCACCCCAGGTGTAGTTCTCAGAGGCGAGCTGTTCCTGACGGTCCTCACCCTCCCTATGGGTACACTATCCTCTATCACGCTCATCACAGCATGCCGTGGAAGAGCCTTGCACACTTGGTGTCCTGCACATGTAATAATTATGCTACAGTCACTTCTCAGCCGGGTAACCGCTAGGTTTCCCCCACCTGAGTAACTGCACACTTTCAGTGGACAATGGTCAGTTTTTGTGATTCTTTTCTTTTTCTCCATGTTATGTTTGTTCAGACCATATTTACTAAAATGTAATTTTATCTATTGAACATAATAAGACAAAAATTGAACTTACATTTTCTATGTTTTTTTCACTTCACTTTTCTTGTAATTCATTTTTATTACATTTTTCAAATGCATAGCTACGCAACAGATTAAAAAAAATTTCACCCAATATAGTTTGCAAAGCACTGCTCTACATCACACTCCTTTAAACAAATTCAGACAAAACACAGCTCCAATTTAGCATGTTCTCACCTGCTAAACAGTAGGGGGGTGTACTAGATCACCCAGGAGATTCTCTAGCTCTGCAGTTCTCTGTGGATACAGTTATATCTCATTTTCCTACAGGTGAATTAGTCACCTGTGAATTGTGAATTATCCACGACAAACTTTTATATTTACAGCTAACTTTCTGCTGCCTCTCATCATAGCTCTGTACATCTCTCCTGCTGTGAGACTGTGTGGGTTTAAAGAATAAAGAGCATTTTAATAATAGCCCAATCAAAATGTAATTAAGAAAGGTAATTTGGCACCAAAAATATTACATAATACACATCAAAGATAAATTCTAGTTATTTCTTACCATCTGCCATTTTGGATTATCAGTTCTCTCCTCCACTGAGATTTAACTATTTATATCAATATACTGAAGTATGCATTTCTTTCAGAAGCTCCTTGTACTTGCCTTATCATAATACACATCACATTTATTATAATAATTTGTGTAACATTCAGCTTTCTTACTAGAGTTTTACCTTCACAACGATGGAGAACATTTCTGTCTTACCACTGAGTTCTAGTGTTTAGACAGTCTCCGACATACTAATAAATATTCATTTGAATGGATGAATGAATGAATTTCTTAGAGGAAGAATCATGGATTAGTCCACGATTTTATTTCTTTAGAGTGTCTTGAATATTTCTTGTCCATTACCTTCCTTTTGTTCCTTAATTTCTGAGCATAAATTTTATAGTTGGAATAGAATCTAAGATTTCATGTGTGTCTACCCAGGGAACCATAGCTAAAAGATGTCTTAACTTCCTTCAACTCAGCTTTTTTTAAAATGCCAAATGCCCAACATAACTGTTATCTGCAAATTTGCTTCTAAGAGTTGTCAACCTCTCTCACTCTCTACTTCAGATTAGCCAGACTAAATTTTGCTCTTACATTTTTATTGATGATTACATCGTCTCTGTTGCTTGCACTGCATAAGCAGGGTTTGTTTTGTTTGTTTGGTTGTTTTAGCCAGCAGGAGCTTAAAAAGTAAAGCATTTTAAGTTAAATTCTTTTCTTCTCCAGAGAAAGTGCAGACAAAGCAAGTTTAAAGAGAGATCCAATTAAATAAACTTCTGTCTCCGGAAACTAGATCCCCTGAGTTAGTTCTCAAGGTCTGTACGTTTCACATGGAATATCTAACAAGGGCTTCCTTTTTTGATTTACACCCTTAGAGTAAGTAAGGAATGACATCACAGTACGCATTACTCCCAGTGCTTTCAAAATGCGCTGACCCTCTAAGAGTTCCCAAATGGCTTCTTTGTGTGCTGTTGAGGACCATCTGGCTAGCTGTAGATAAACAAGTTTCAACATATGGGCCACAACACATACACGGCTCTGCTCCACTAGTGCAGAAAATTAAGAAAAGGTTGCTCTCTTGATAATGAGAAACTCACGCAAAAGAAGCAGCACCATGTGGTGGAGGGCCTGCCCTAAGCTGCACTCGGGAGAGCTTCATTCCAGCACCTTCTGTCCCCCTCACTGCGCATGTCACTTGATCACACCAAGTCTCCTTGATTTCCTCATCTGAAAATCACAAAGGGTGCCAAGTCAACTCTGGCCTTCCTCCTTCCCTTCCCCTTCTTCCTGCCCTCCCTCCTTTTTCCTTTCTTTCCCTCCCATTAAGAAATATTAATTATATGCCTACTATATATGCTCCAAGCACGGTGCTAGGTGCTGAGCATAACGGTGAGGAAAACAGACATGGTCCCTGCCCTTGAAGAATTACTAAACAATGATGAAGACATACATTAAATAAATAATTGAGAACAGGAAGAATATTCCAGAGGGGGAGAAAGCATGTGTGAAGGTCCTGAGATGCGGAAGTAGTATAGACTGTTTAAAAACTGCAGGGAGGGGCCGGCCCCATGGCTTAGTGGTTAAGTGCACGCGCTCTGCTACTGGCGGCCCGGGTTCGGATCCCGGGCGCGCACAAATGCAGCGCTTGTCCAGCCATGCTGAGGCCGCATCCCACATACAGCAACTAGAAGGATGTGAAACTATGACATACAACTATCTACTGGGGCTTTAGGGAAAAAAAAAAAAGGAGGAGGATTGGCAATAGATGATAGCTCAGAGCCAGTCTTCCTCAGCAAAAAGAGGAGGATTAGCATGGGTTAGCTCAGGGCCGATCTTCCTCATAAAAAAAAAAAAAAAAAATGCAGGATTTGTAAACGTTTCTATCTGTTAAATTGAGGACTCAGTTGGCAATCAAAATGTGAAAGGAAAATTCCCACCATCTCCAGATGGCAATTCAGACAATTATTATATTAGAACAAACTATTTGAAAAATTGTCTGAGTTTTCTATTCGTATTGTTGGTCTCGTGCCTGCAATCAATGAATCTAATAAAATTGCATGAAAATATGGTCATCAAAAACATCTACAAGCATCTCAAGCACATGACACCATGGTAAATGCTTTAAGAATTATGAAACAGTTTCCAGAAAACCTAGGAACTGTATGGGTGCCTCCTGTTTAATATTTACAGAATAAAACTAAACACTAAGGAAACAGTCATTAAGGTATCTTTTACAAGTACTTTACTTCCCAAAAAGCATTTCCCAATACTCAGTCTTGCCAGAGATGACAGCTGATACCCTAGAGTGAGAAGAGAAATTAGTCATAATAGTTATTCTTGCTGAACAGTCATAAAATATACATAAAATGTTTACTTCAGTGATTTTCCCAACTCTCAGTTAAAACAAAAGCTGTACCTTTGGCATACATATGTTAAATAGTATAAATTGTTTGATCTTTTTCTCATTCTCTGTCAATGTCTCCCTTTTTCTTTCATTTGGCCACCATACTTGTAAAGCACAGTGGCGGTGCCCAGCCCCTGCAGCCAGAACCGGGCAGAGAGTTCAATAATCAGGCGTTCGAGGCAGGCAGGATAAAGAGCCAATTTGAATAACTAAGGTTCTAATAAAAAAGTTAAACAAACACATTTGAAAACCTTCATCAATCTAATTAACCATAACGCCCTGTCTTATACTACAGGAAAGAAAGATGTCACAGCCCGCAAACTGCTATAGCACTTACTCTCCTCTACGGTGACAATCGGAGAAACGCCTGCCTTCTATCTGATGGCACACTCCTTAAAAGTAAGGACTTGCTTTACCCTTTTTTGTTCCCTTGATGTCCACAGTGTTGAATGTGGCAGAAGCCCAGTAAATACTCATTAATCAAATCAAGGAATGAATGGTCATTCTTAAAAAAAAAAATGTTACAAAATGGACGAATCCTCACAGTGAAATGCAATTCATCACAGAACTGTCTCAATTACCTGTTAAGATTTTAGCAAATATATAAAGCTCGCCCTTCTGCTATTCTATATATAGCAACATTTATGACATCAGACCTTCAATTAAAAATCATTACTTAAGTTGCTTTATTAGAGCTATAAATAAACTTTATTTGATGTAATGTAATAAAACACTTTCAAATTTAACAACATTTATCTGACAGAATTAATCACTTAAATTATGAATATAAGTATATACAGTCACTTCAGCAGATCCGCAGTTCGGGAATTTGTACAAGCATCATCTGCAAGGATGGTGCCCACCTCCCCTTTCAGGACAGCAGACCCTTCCCTGTGTCTGGTGAGAAGCAATGTCAGTGGAAGTTGAAGGAAATCCATAATCCACGTTGGAATTCCACATCGTCCTGTGAGAGAACAGCTACCCTTATTGTAGGAAAATAATATCCTCTTTTGCTTCTCTTTTATCAAATGAAGGTTTGCATTCTTTTTTTCCCCCTTAGAGGTATTCTTTTCTGATCTAATATCTTCTGTCATATGTATTACATAGTACCATTTCTTAAAAAAATACTGTCCACAAAGGGACCTTTTCTGTTTCATTACCTGCCCTTAATGTCTACCACTTTGGAGAGGGAGAGGGGGGAAGAACAGAATTGGCCAGGCACACATTTGATTTAAGATACAGAGAACACATAAACAAATCCTCTAGAAGGAACAGGATAGTATTCTGGAGCATTTCCCAATAGAGGCCCAGATGACCTCCAATTCACACAATTCAGTTTAATACAGTGCTGCTCAACGAGAACAAACATGTTGATGCTCTATCTCCAGAAGCCTTGCAACCTTTCATGGAAACTCCATTATTCCCATATTTCCTTCCAAAAAACACATAGTTTTGGACCAGCCCCTAGGCCCGCTGCACCCATGTGTAAATGATAGTTAAAAGTTCTGTACCAGTAACCATGTTAATATACAGTGCAGTTAGGTAGCACTCGCTCTCTACCCAGGTAAAAATCCTCACAGAAGGAATCCTCCTCACCTCTCAGGACCCCTCAGAAGAAGGGTGAGTGCAAGAAAAACGTTTATTCAGGTTTTATGATTCTCTCCATCCTGAGATCTGTTCCTGAGTTATGCCATAACAATAAGTGAGTTAACAAAGAAAGCACGTTGGTGGGGAAATCACAGGGACCCTGCAGAAAAGCCAAACTGTTTGACAGAAGCTTTAAATAGACACTACTCTGGGAAATCATTTGTACTAGCTGATGACAGGAGTCTGTTTTCTAACATGGACATGCAACATATTCAACACTATGCTTACTGCAGTTTGCTTGAAAAACACCCTTCTGTCCTACAACAAAATACATCCTGTCTCGTGAACGATTCCTGAATATTCACCACAATGCCTCCACTCTTAGAAGCACAGGAAGTGTGCACTGGAACTTTCTTCCATTTGCACGGACTCAGACATAAGCAAAGCACCAGAAACTGTTTCCTTTCTGGAACTTAGTTCTGTTGGTGCACTTATGGCTGAGCTGATCTGGCTGTTTTAAACCGAGAACTATTTTCATTTGCACACAATAGCACGGATCCACAGAAAAAAAGGAGAGGTCACCATCTCCCTCATGATATACTTTGTACAACAGATCACCCTGCTCGTCACGTTTTAGCCATCCTGAGAAAGGACAGAAGCCGCACTCCATTCCGCAGTCTCAGCAAATGATTCGTTCTGTTTCCACCTGTCTTGCCTTTTTTATTTCGTCTCCATTATTCCTCTTTTGATCATGTCATGACTTTTTTTTCTACAGTAGTCAGAGTTTTGTCTACAAAGAGAGAGAAAGGAGACAAGAAAATGATTTAGCAGAACCATAAATGTGAATTTTCTTTTTGTGGTGGGTGGATTTAATTTTTACAGCATTCAGTCATTTGAATCATTTGTGGCTTCTAAGGGGTTATGAGCACCTGTAAAGGGAAAGAAAAAGTACTGTGGCTCTTTTCGTAAATTTTACAGCTTCTATAAGTTGCCAGGGCCTTAATATATTTGCAAGCCAGCCCCGGATAATCCATGTAGAAATTCACTTTCGTAATACAGCTGTAGCCAAAAATGGTTCTACTCTCAAAAATCCTTGCAAAATACTACTGCACTTGCCCTACTCAAAAAGAATAATGATCACTACTAATGAGAAGCGTTCTCGCCCTCCAACCTAGGAGGGTGCATTATAGGGAGTCATGTGTGCAGAGACCAGGAAACCCCTCCTCCGTCACTTCCTTCCTCCCAAATTCACAGAAGTGGCGTGAGTCATGGAGAAGTCTTGGCCAATGGCTGAGGAAAAGTCTCTCTCTCCTTGGCACAGAGCCACATTCCCCCTAGATCCACACTCCCCTAACTCTGTACCTTCACAGGACTCGACTTACCAAACTACATCCGTGTGCTTGAGAGCTAGGTCTGTGAGGTTCCAGGGCCTGGCACGGCGCCCCAGCCTTTGCCTCCTCATCCTATTGAGTGCCCCTCTCACTTGGCTATCAAGACTCAATGGATGGGTTTTCCCGGTGACAGGATCAGTTTCTCCATAAGACACCATCACTCACTTTGTCCCTCCCCTCACACGAGGGCACCTAAGGAGAAGCATTGCGCTTCAATGGGCTCTGGGTATCTGGGAGCAGGCACTGGAAACAGGCTGTGTCCCGGCTTGGGCTACACACTTATTCTTAGCCTGGGGCCTCTGCCTCTTCTCAGTACAAAGGAGAGACTGCACTTCCTCTGCAATTCAGGGCTGCTCTGCTCACATCAGTTCAGGAACCATACAGAATTCCTCCAGGCCTCAAGGTGCAGCACCATCTCCACAGTCTCCCTTTCCTCACCACCCATCTGCTAGTCAACTTCCAACTTAGACATCCTTGGCCTCTTTCCTCGTCTCAACGCCGCCACCCTCCCAGCGTGGGCCATCCTGACAGGAGACCTCACTTTCACGCTGGTCTCCTAACCCATCTCCCTTCTTCCATTGTGAGCCCCTATTTATACTGCAGTCCTGGCTTCACTCCTGCTCAAAAGCCTTCACCTCTCCCACCACATTGCCCACTTGGCCCTCCATGCTGACCCCAGTCTACCCGGCTTCCAGGTACTGCTGAAGACATGCCCCGGGTTCCTTATCCACCTCCATCCCCATCTGCCTCTCTGTCCATACTGTCCCCTCTGCTTTGAATAGCCCCACCCCTGCCATCCCTTCTTGTCAAAATCCTACTCTTTGTTCAAGACCACCCAAATATCACCTCCTTCATGATTTCCACCGTGGATATTTTCTCCCTAAGACATCCTCCCAAGGCTTATTTTTCTTGTATACCCATCTGTACTGCTTAATTCTATTTTGTGCTACGTGTATTTACTATCTACTAAGAAAACAAAAAAAAAAAATTAGAAAAAGCAAGAGAGGCCAATCGCCTGCCTGTCCCACTTTAAAGAGACGTTGCAAAGTTAAAATGTAGGCAAATGCAAAGCATGAAGCAAAGCTATTATTATTACTATTCGATGATTTAATAAAAATAAAGTGCTGAATTTCAGCTAGTTAATGATGAGGAAAATACTACTGTAGGGGAAAAAAAATCCATGAATAGTAAACTTTTTGTTTATTTCCATCCTTAAGGCAACATCCCACCGTAGATACCAGGGTTTCAGGGACCTTGATGCCTCTTCCCGACTTCCACCGGGACCCAATTCGTTTTATTTCTTTTTAATCACTGGTTTCTATAAAGAAAAGGTAGAATCACCCTGAACTCCAAAGCTTCCGCAGAAACGCTGGAACAGCATATTGACAGAATTCATGGCAGGAACCCAAGGTTACTCCACTATGCCTCACCACTGTAATCGACAGAGATCCTAAGAGGCTCTTTGAAGCGAAAGACAATAGGATCACCAAAGAGAAGAAGGGAGAGGGAAAGGAAGAGCTACTCCAAAACAATTTCATGAAACTCTTTTCCATGAAAGCATTTTAGAAACTGTTTTTCAATATTGTTCACAATAATGGTGTCAAATAACAAAAGCAGTCAAAATGTGACACTTAAAAGCAATTTATGGCAACTCAAAGCAAATCCATAAACAAGGTCTTCAAATTAAAAAGAAAAAAAGATGAATTCTTATTTATATCACATTGTCACACTTGGTTTTATATTACCAGTATTCGAATACTTGTGAAAAGGTGACAAAGATTATAATTTAGCATAGTGAATTAAAATTAGCAGTGAAGTATGCATAGCCTTTTCTCTCTTTTCACTCCCTACCCCAAGGAAGATTCTGGAGTGCCTGCTGGACTCCAGAACCTCGTTATGTTGATCAAGAAAATGGGAAGAAATAAGTAAATATTTGGAAGTAGCAATACACAGTCTAGTAGACTGTTTACACAGGAATAGAAGAAAACTATTATGTAGGAGGAAAAATAGACCCAAGAAAGCAGAGGGAGGGGCAAAAATATAAAAGACTAGAACCCAAGAAGCCAGAGGGGGAGAAAAGGGCTGGAAAGATTAGTGGGAGGAGCTCTGAGTCTCTAGGCTGGCCCAAGAAGTGTGAGCGTTAGAGAGATAGTAGAGGGAACAAAGGGTTCTAAGGTTTGCTGTGAGCTATGGATTGGACACCAGGTCATTTCTCCAGCGACTCCAGGGAGTTGTGAGTTGTTTTGTGTTATCCAGCTGGTGTTTACTTAAATACAACTGTGCCAAATGAGGACTGTGTGGGGTGTTCTAATTACCAATCTTTTACTAGCCACCACCACCATGTCTACCACCTCCCCAGCCCACTGGACTGTGAGCTTCCAGAGGCAAGGATTGTCACTTATTCATCTTTCCATCTCCTGACATGCCTGGCACTGTGCCTTGTACAGAGTAGGCCCTCAAATGTTTCTGGAGAAAACAAGCCAATAAAGAGACTCCACTTTCAGCCAACATCTTCTAATTCAACCCACATGGTGCCACTGAATCAGTCTTCATCACTTGGATGATTCCATTCTCCTACTTGCAGAGACTCAGTCAATGGTTTACTACTGTCCACTCTACAGTTTCTCAACTTTAACACTATAGACATTTTAGGCTAGGTAATTCTTTGTTGTGGGGGGCTGCCTGTGTATTACAGGATGGTTAGCAGCATCCCTGGCCTCTACCCACTAGATGCCAGTAGGTCCTCCCCTCTCCCAGTTGTGACAACCAAAAATGTCTCCAAACATTGTCAAATGTCTCTTGGGAGCAAAATCACCCTTGGTTGAGAACCACTTGTCTACACTAAAATCTCAAATTCCTGGGGCTGGAATGGAAGATCCATCATAATTTAATCTCATTCTACCTTCCCATTGTTTTTACTAAATCTTCCCCCACACCAATGCTTAGCTTCAGCCAGACTGTCCTTTGCATAACATCCCACACTGGTGCCTCTACAAAAAATGTTACCTTCACCTGGAATGCCATTTCTACACTCCTTTAGTTATAAATGCTTTGACCACCTTCATAATATACTCCAGCCCATATCCTTCAGGAAGTCTTCCCAGATCAGGGTTAGGGTAAGCTCTGAGTTATTTTCCTCTCCTTTGAATCCTATAGCTTTTCCTGTCCCCATCTTTCATTTGTTCTTATTATAAAAAGGGTGAATGTGCATATGTATGTGTTTATGTATGGTCTGCCCCATAGAAATATATGCATTAGGACAGGAAAGACATCATGTATTTTCTGTATCCTCCTCAACACACGGCACATTTATAAACAAGCATTTAAAAAGGAGTCTTCCAAGCAACTAGAAGGATGTGCAGCTATGACATACAACTATCTACTGGGGCTTTGGGGGGAAAAAATAAAATAAATAAAATCTTTAAAAAGGAGTCTTCCCACATTGGAACTCACTAGAAAGCTGCCTGATACAAAATTTAATAGCAGCTATCTTAAGTCTCTCATTAGAAATTTCCTAAAGTTAATGGATATTTAGGCCAATCATCCCAAATGATTTTAATATTCCATAATTATAAATAAAATCAATAATTATAAATTCAAATAAAGAGATTTAATGAGGTAATAGTCATTTTCTTAGATGAGGGGAAAGCAAACTATGACCTGTGGGCCAAATCCAGCTGGCTGTCTGTTTTTGTAAATAAAGTTTTATTGGTACACCACCATACTCATTTGGTTACTTGTGTCTGACTGCTTTCTCAGTACAAAGGCAGAGATGAGCAGTTTCAGTAGAGACCTATGGCTAGGAAAGCCTAAAATATTACTGTCTGGCCCTTCACAGTAAAAGTTCACTGACCCTTGTCTTATAATGGACAGGAAAACAATACCCAAGCACAGAGGCAAATATCCTTGGACATTACGTTAGCTAATTTACTTTTATAAAAGACACAGTATCACGGAAGTTAAAAGCCCTTTTGAACACAGCTTTCCTGGGCTCAAATCCAGCTCTATCACTCTCCATGTGTATGACTTTGGGAAAATTATTTGACCTCCCCAAGCCCTTGTTTTGTCATCCTCAGAATGGAGATGAAGAAAACCATCCTCTCATAAAGTTTTAAGGATGAAGTGATGTAATTCACACAGAGTGCCCAGCATAGTGCTTGGGAGTGAATCTTCAAAAAATGTAGGTTATTATTATTTTAAACTGGAAAACCTGTTTGTGTGACATATGGAAAATGAGCATTTTGTGAATTACCTGAATTATGTGTGAATTATTAGCTAAAATAATCAATAAAATATTCTCCAGTTCTTTGACTGTGTAGGACCCATACAAACACAGTGGTATTTTCTAGTTCAGGACCTCATTTGTTCTTTTCTGGTTTCTGCACTGGCTGCTTAACTGGACCCCCTGCCACCAGCTTTTTATTTTATCTGCCCTTTTCACTGCTGCCAGAGAGACTGTCCTCCAACACCTCTCTCAGTGTATTACTCTGGAGAACTGAAACCAACATGCTTTCCTGTTCCTGTACTAGCCAACTCTGGGACTAGGCAAAATAACCCAGCTACTTGTTCCAGGAAATAGTTGCTTCCAAAAGATAAGACTGCACACCAACTAAAATAGCTTACTTATCAAGACTAGCAGGTTGCTCATTAATACTGGCTTCAAGGCCCCCACTTAGCTGTACCCACCAATCCAAAGCTATAATGTCAAAAACCCTGCCCAGTCCTCACTAGTTCCCCACCTTAACATCACCCAGCCCAAGCCCTAAAACTCTATCAATATCCTTTCTTTCCTCCATCTGAGAAACTACCAAGACTCTGTCAAGGAGATGTCCTCCCGTGCTGTAGTACGTCTAATAAACTTAACTTACTCCTATTAACAGGTTTTTCTAATTGTCTTCTTAGAGCGCTGATGGCTACAATCCCCGGCTCAACAACATTCAGTAGCTCTTCACTGCCTACAGAATGAAATCATCTGACAGGCAGTGTTGCACAATGGTTAAGAGCACATGCATTGGGGTGATTCACACCACATCTACCACTTAGGGGCCATATGATCTTAGGTAAGTTACTTTACGTCCCTGAGTCTCCATTATTCTTCTGAAAATTGAGGATGCTAGAAGCACCTACTTCACAGGTAGAATGGTATATAGCATGCAGTAGGTATTCAATAATTATTAGCAATTACTACTTTTATTTATCATCTATTATGTGTCAGGAACTGAATTAGATTCTGCAAATAGAAATCTGACTAAGACATAGCTCCCTCCCTGAAGGAATTTAGAATCTGGTGGGCAAACCCTAGTGGTCAATTCAATAAGAATCGTATAGTCCTGGAAAGATCCCTGGCGATACAGGTTGCTCATAGTGCATATTCTAGAACCAAAAATTGTATTCTTTTAAAAAAATTTTTCAACTTTTTTATTGTGAACAATTTCATATGTACGAAAGAGTATATATAATAAAAGTGAAAATGAATACCTGTGAAAGCTACACCCAGGTCAAGAATTAGCATATCTATAGTCTTACAACTTTGAGTTCCTAGGACAAGAAATGTTGATCTCTGGCTTCCCACATCCCTATTAGGGGATGTTTCTGCCTGCTTCCTTCTAGTGAAGTTAGAAAATAGGCTGAGTTCCTAGAGATTTCCAGAGTCATTTGGGGAGTATGCGAAGTTTGGAGCCTCTGGAGTCTACTGTAATCCATGAGGGCACTTTGTACCCTCTTTGAGCAGGGCTGTTCCCTGAGATAGCTGGGAGCACAGAGGTGTCCTTTGCCACCTTTATTGCACATAAAGGAGTCTAATATATGAAACATGTATAGAAGTAAGATTCAGATGATGTGGGATCTAGACCTGGTGATGCCACTAGCTCACTGTGGGACATCTCACCCTCCAGGTCTCGGTTGCCTCTTCTGTCAAATGAAGGGCTTGGACAAGATGACCGGGAAGGTGCTTCTCAGCTAAATTGGTCCATGTTCTCTGGTCTATTCCTTCCTGCCAGGTTCAATGAAGAGGAACCCTCCTCCTCTCTCACGTCCAGCACTAATCTGCTCTCTCTCTCACCAGCACCTTCCATCTCCTCATTTCAGTTTCTTTCCCCACAGCTTTCAAACATGAAGATGCCTCCTCTACCACAAATTTAAAGCATTGGACCTGCTGACAGCTCTCATTACCATATTGCCTCCTTCCTGCTTTATAATGCCAAATTCATTAGCACGTGGATTACATGTGAAACATCCATTTCCTTATCAGCATTGGCCCTTTGTAATCCTTTTTCAGATCCCAACACTCTCTTGCAGTTGCTTCTTGCAAAGTCACTAATGCCTCCTAAGCAAACTCACCAACTATCTATCAGTTCTCAACTTCTAAAAAAGAGGGCAGCACTTCCTGAAAGCTCCGTAGTTTTCAAGACTTCGCTTCATCCTGGCATCACCCCATACTAAGCACTCTCCTTTGTCCCAGGCTGCTTCCTTTTGGCCTGTGTGAATTTGCTTCCTTTTCCAAAGAAGAATTTATCAGTGAAGGATGAGGTCATCAAAAATGTTTTACTGGAGGGGGCCAGCCCGGTGGCACAAGCGGTTAAGTGCGCGCGCTCCGCTGCGGCGGCCCGGGGTTCGCAGGTTCCGATCCCAGGCACGCACCAACGCACCACCCATCAAGCCATGCTGTGGCGGAGTCCCATATAAAGTGGAGGAAGATGGGCACGGATGTTAGCCCAGGGCCAGTCTTCCTCAGCAAAAAGAGGAGGATTTGCAGATGTTAGCTCAGGGCCGACCTTCCTCACACACACAAAAATATATATATATAAAAAAAAAAGTTTTACTGGATGTAAGAGTAATATCATTGAAAATGATAATGTTAGAAGAATTGGAGATATAAGGACATAATTTGGATGTTATTTATGGAGAAAGGGTGGGAAACATCACCTTCTTTGTCATCAGTCACATCAACTGCAATTCATCAGCAAATCCGGCTCGGCTTCCAATCTAACTAAGCACCTATCTCTGGCTTTCAGAATTCTACTGGTTGGAGGACTGGAGTCTATAATATTCTGAATCCCAATCTGATATGCTTGGGAGACAGTAAGCTAGCTACTGATTCAGGAAGCTGTCTGTGATGCACTTCAACAAGTTCCACGACAAGGTAGGGGGGAGAAAAGGAAAATAGTGATAAACGACCTTACAGCACAAACTCGGGTCTCTCGGGCCTCTCGGCAAGCTTCAGGGCCTCGTGCATGCCTGCGGCCGAGAGCTTCCGGTTGATGTTCCGGTACTGGCACTGGAGCAGGTTGCGATAGGTGGTCCTCAGGTCCCGGTTGAAGAAGGCATATATAAAAGGGTTAATGAGCGAGTTTGCATAGCCCAGCCACAGAAATGTCCTCTCCACCCACAGCGGGATGCAGCTGCAGGCAGTGCCACAGATGAAGGGTCTGGCTGTCGAGAGGAGGAAAAACGGCAGCCAGCACACGGTGAAGGCCCCGACGATGATCCCCAAGGTGGTGGCCGCTTTCTGTTCCCTCTTAAAGATGGAGATGTTTTTCCTTTCGTGTTTGAGGAGTCTCGAAAGGTTGGCACACTCCTCCACCTCCTTCTGGAGCTTCACCATGCCGTTCAGGGAGATGATGCTGTCCGGCTCCTCCAGGCGAGGGAAGCCGGGGAACTTGTGTTTGGCGGCGCTCTTCCTGGCGGCCTTGTAAATCTGGTAGTACATGAAAAGCATGACGGACATGGGGATGTAAAACGCCACAGCGGTGGAGTAAATCGTGTAGCCAAAGTCCTGGCTGATCAAACACACTTTGTCATCGTTTACATTCTGAGCCCATCCGAAGAGCGGCGGTAAGGTGATGGAGGCGGAAAGGAGCCAGACGGAGAGAATCATCTTCGCCATGCATTTCCCATTCTGCCTCACAGGGTACGTCAGCGGCCTGGTGATGCCAAGGTACCTAGGAGAGAAACGGAAGAACATGGGACTTCTGTGATCACACTGATCAACCAGGAAGTGCCAGCAGCCAGGTGCTAGGCTTTATACCTAGTAGCTCCAGTCCTCGCGACAGCCCTCTAGGTAGGCAGCATTATTCCCATTTTGCACAAAGGTAAACTAAGGCTCTGAGATGTTACCTGTTTTATTCCAGGTCACACACACACAATCAGCTAGAGGCACTGCCAGGATTCAGCCTAAGAGCCCTCTGCCTGTAATGCTAGTCTTTTCATACCTTGTAGCTTCCATATTCTGTGTAGTCAGTGAACTAAAAATTAAACATCTGCCTTCCCCAGCTGACCACTGCCACGGAAATCAGCCAGGAACAAAATGTCAAGCCTGACGTGGGATGCTGTGACACATCCTCACAAATTAACCAAGGTCTACCACACTCTGATATTATTCACCCACTGATCTCGGTTGTCATAATTCAGGCCAGCTTTTAATTCATTTTAACTTCCTGTTTGCCCTGTAGTGAAAGCATTTCTTGAAGACTACAGAGAGTTGTGAGATATTTAGGAAATCCTGAGGTTTGGGAATGGAAAGTAGCAAGTGATGATTTTTTCACCCCCAGAATATTCCCACACAAGAGTAATGTTAGAGGAACAATTTATAAAATAAAAACAATCTACCTCATCTCTCCTATCTTGAGAAGGGTCACAAGAAAGAGCACAATTCTGAAAAATATTAAGTAAACCCATTTTTTCTGTGCTTAGTTCTACACAGAGAATAAATATTTCTCCGTCTGTGTTATCAAGGATTTATAATGCAAAAGAGACTCAGCAAACAGAGAAAACATATACAGCAAGATGTTTTGCCAAATGCTTAGTAGTTTTGAGCTTTCCAAATCTGCTTTCTCCTCTGTATTTAACAGTATTAGCTTCTATTTTGGGAAAGATGCGAAGAGCACTTAAGAAGCCAACACAGGTAAAAGCTGGTCATTTTGTTGGTTTTTTTACTTCATTTATGTATATAAAAGATACACTCTTGAAACATGAAAAGGAAAGGTACAGAGAGTCCCCAACTTAACAGGTTATTCTCTGAAAGTCTGTCGGTTGGTAGGTTGGAATTTAAAAAATAATTATTTTTGTGCTAGAAATATCTTCACGTGTTATGCTTAAGTTATCTCTCAAAAGTTGAAAATCATGCTTTCATAATGAAAGTTAGCATCACTGCAACACTTACAACAGGGCAAAATTGAAATATAGTAAAAAGGAATAAGCCAGATTTGCTTATTCATTGAGAATATTTATTCATTCCTTCAACAGATGTTAATAGAGCTCCTTCTATATGCCAGGTACTGATTAAATGTTGGGATATGGCAGTGAATAAAAGAGACAAAAATCTGGAATGCAGGCACCTGGGGATTCATGTAGGGGCTGGACGGGAGCACTGAGCCTCGAAGGGACTCCTGGTCCTGCTTGAGGATTCAGGTGTTGGTAGCACCAGTCCTTTGTTTCACAGTGTCAGCTCTGCCTTTTCCTGGATAAAGCTGACCCACGAGCACTAGCTCCAGGTTTATCAGCTGTATAATTAAGATTATGTTTTGGCTCCCAAATAGAAAGAAGGATGAGAAGGAGGGATGTTTTCCTGAGAACCCAAGAATAAGAGCTGAAAAGGAAGGGAAAAGAGAGAAGGAGGCAGGAAGAAGAGAGGGAAGGAGGGAGAAGGTGGGGGAAGAGGAAAGGGAAAAGAGAACAAGAGAAGGGAAGTGTGACTAGGCTTTGCCTTCTGTGGAATTATCTGAAACTATCTGAGTTTTAAGCTATGAGAAAAAAAATTTAAGAAAATTGAAAAAAAAAAAAGGCAGATGAGGAAACTCATGAAGAAAGGTGTTAGAACTGGCTGGAAGCCCACAACTAAGCTGATCCCTGCCTCAAGGCTGAATGCAGAAGTTCCATTTAAAAAAAAAAAAAGTCTCCCTCTCTTTGCTTTGGTTCAGGAGCTATCTCCAAGTTTTTCCTGCTGGAACTCCTCAGCAGACCTCTCCTTTTGGACCCAGTCTTTGCTCTCTCCCAACTTTGCTCTCTCCCAACTCCTGTGGATGTAGCCTTTTGGCTCCGCCTTGTTTCCCAGCTCCCCCAGGCAGCCTTTGCCAGGACCTGGACTTCCATTATCTTCTCTCTTTCCCTGTAGTCACAGGCATAAACTGCTTATTTCCAAGCCTGGATCTGGCTGCCAAAACCAACCCAGCCCGGAGGTCCTACAGGAGAGAAGTTAGTTCATACAGTTCCCCAGGTGGCCACCAGATGGCAATGTCAGACCATCTTACACCTACTTACTGGGGGGTTGGGATGGTGGGTAGTTAGAGCAATAGGTGTTTGCTGGAAGGACGAAGGAGGATTACTCACAACAAGAAAAGAAGTTATATTTTATTTGTGGGGTTATACAAATATTGGCAAGCCTGAAATTCACAACCTGGTAAACTCCTATTCTTGAAGAAGTCAGTTCCGTTTTCCCTTCCATTCCTTCACATTTTCCTTACTGAAACAGATTTATATTTTCAGGCTTAATTAAATCCAGGCTTTCTCCTGCTCACACAAATATTATAGAAGTCACAAAGATTAATCCAGAGAGATTAATCGAGTACCAAAGTTCATCTCAGAATACTAAATAATCTCATATGAACAGCATGCTTATTCATTCTAATATACTTAGTCTGGCCTATATTACATTTCAATGATGGGGATTGGCCCATATTCGGTCCTTCCTGGATCTACAAATTATATTCCATAAACTGTCCTATTTTAGGCTCCATTCTCTGATGGTCTCAAGTCATGGCCTATAGTAAGGTAGTTATATTTACTTCTTTAGTCTCCCAGGAGAACTTTGAAGGCTAAAATCAATTGAAAGATGATTCGAAAAAGATATGAGTGCTCATTTAAGTATCTGGAAGTAAAATAAAAAAACAAAAGTCAATAGCGTTTTTTAAACAACTAACAGAAAATATTATGGAAGGAAATAATTCCATTCACAGCAAAAATCAAAAAATTAAAATATCTAGAAAAATATTTTGCCATGGCCAGAGCCTAAATGAAGAAAGCATAAAATTCTACTGAGAGACCTAAGAAAATGCTTGAATCCATGGTAGGGGGAAAAAAAAAAACTTTTTTAAATAAGAAAATCAAGTGTTACAAAAGTGCCAATTTTCCTTCAATTAATCTAAAAATATTATACAGCTCCAGTTGAAAACCCTAGCAGGGCTTTTGTTAGTTTGACCAAATGATTTTTAAATTCATCAAGTAAATATGCAAAAATAGACAGAGAATCTGAAAAAGAAGAAAAATGAAGGGATACTTATCCTATAAAAAAATAGTGTAAATCCACGGAAATAAAAACTCAATAATAATTATTCAGAAATAGAGACATCAATAGAACAGATCTCACAAATAGATTCAAATATGTAAGGGAATTTAATACAAGAAAATTTGAGTCATTTTAAATCAGTAGTAAAATGTTGAATATTCATGAAGTTTGACAACTGGCTAGCAATTGGGGTGAAAATAAAACTGGCTTATCTTTCTCCTCATTCAAAAATAAATCCCAAATGGATCAAGGATTATCGTGTAAAAAAATTAAACCCTCGGACCACGATGAGGAGAGATGGGTGAGTATTTCTGCAATCCTGAAATGGCAAAGGCCGTTCTTAACCATGACACAAAAGTCTGACACTACAAAGTGCCATATTGATAAATTTTTGATGAAAATTTAAAAACAAAAACAAATTTAAAAAGGACATTCAGTTTAACTTAAAAATCATCATGTGCAAAGTTAAGAGTCAAATGACAAACTTGGAGTCCAAATAACAATATCCCAATACTTACAGACACTACAGGTTAATGAGAAAAAGACAACCAATCCCAATATAAATATGGAAGCAATCAACCAAAGAAGAAATAAGAATATCCAAAAAGCACTTGGAAATATGTACAACTTCATCAATAATCAAAGGGATGCAAATTTTTAAATAATGACAGAATTTTTGATCATTTGCCAATTTTTAAGAAAGTCAAAATCCAATATTGGGAAAGTGTGAAAAATCAGGCACTCTAACATTTTGCTAGTGGGGGTTTCAGATGAGATAACACTTTTGGAGGACAGTTTGGTAATTAATAAACATCAACATTTACCTTTTGGCTCAGCGATCAGACTTTGACAAATTTGTCCTAAGAAGATAATTGTACAGGTGCAAAATGACTAATGTGCAAGGATGTTAACTAAACACATAACAGAGGGAAAAAAGATGCAATCTAAATATCTATCAATAGGAGACGAGTTAGATAAAGTATAGTATAGTATAAAGTGTAGTAGAGTATAATATATATCATGTAACCATTAAAAATTATGATGTACATATCTATTTATTGACATGAAAACTACAGAAAAGTGGATAGAAAACAATGTCTAGCTCTCAAAGACAAGTAAAAGAGTGTCATTTAATCTATTAGTCTTTACACAGAAAACCAGCTGTTTCTGTGAGTGTGTGTGCGTGTGTGTACACTGAGACATCCAGAAGAATATCTACCAAAATATTAAAAGCAATTTTATCTGAATGGTAGAGATTTAAGTAGTTTTTAAATTTTCCTTTTACTTTTTTATTGCTTTATTTCCTACTGTGAGAATGGAAAAAAAAAATACTGCCATTTTAATTTTAATAAGAAAATGAAAGATTTAAGAGGATTCTTATTCTTAAGTCACCCAAGTGATTTTGGCAATAGAGACTATCTGGTTCATAAAATCTTTAAAAAGCTGATAATTAAATCTCAGATTGTTTTTATCTGATTAGCTTGTCAAAAGTGTTTTATTACATTCATAAATTCACACAAAGGAAACAGAACTCATTGGCATTTAAAATCCCATAATTGCCATATTGGTATTCGGGGAAGTGTTTGTCCAAATTATACATTCATTCTCCCAAATCTTGTAGAGTATAAATCTTACCTTTGAGGGAGAGAAAAGAAAAAA